CACTCAAATATGAACGGAACGGGGACGTGTCATTGACAATGACTTGTCACGCTATGATTTGCCGCATATCAATACGCAGGTGTTAGGTTATTCAAGAAGGCGGTCCATACCCAGTTGACAAGGAAACTATTAAATCTTTCTCTTACACTTTCCATACACTTTCCATAACTTCCATCTGCTTTAGTTTCAATTCCACGTCAGAATTGTATTCATTCAGAATACGTTTTAAAGTTCCTGTGAACTCCGCCATATTTAAATATAGTTCGGGTTTGACCCTACCGAAGACTCTTGATTTGCATAAATGCATAATCCAGCTGTGGCAGAGGTAGTTATTTTATAAAATACATTGTCATCTGTGAAAGTTTACTTATACTATAAGACCTACAAAATATTACAAATTATTCCTGAGATTTAGCTGAAAAAGAATATTTGAATTATATTTTTTAGAATTTTAGAATGTTGAGTTTACCCATTATAAGCATCCAATCCTAATAGTACTAGAGATATCATGTGATGTCTGCGGTATAAATTATACTTGACTGTTCTCTATTTTCAGGCTATGCGAGTAGAATTCCAGAAGTGAGTGCAGACATATTAAATAATGTCAGACCTGTCTCGGGAAGCGCTGGTGTAGATAGAAGTACAACACAAAATACTGCAGGGAATATCTTACAGACTCCCCAAAGGCCACACAGTAGACAAAGGTCAGACAGTGTTATTTACTCACTTCACAATTCTATTGACAACTTCTATAATTGATGTGTAACTATGGTAACTTATTTTTGTTGCTTTCAGGTAATTTTTCAACTTCTGACACCATTCTTACTGTTTATCAGTAAATTGACAGCAATTGTTCATAATTTTCCCCTCAAAAGTTTGGTGCAATGTTTTGCAAATTTGCATTTTTCTATAATTTCTTAATTTAGAATCACAGGGATGTAATTTGCCATGTGTGTTGTATTGATAATAAATTTTGGAACAATTTGGACATAAAATTATGCAGGTTCATTCTGTAAAATTTTTCTTTGGTCGAAAATTAACAATGAAATTATAGAAAAATACGAAAACATGCTGCACTGAAAGTTTTGCAAGAAAATAATGACATTCAAAAAGTTAATCAAATCCTGACACCGGAAACTCTGAATTTACTAATTCGGTATGTCTTTCAGTGTCTCCAGCCAGGGATTAGGCGCACAAGCCAATAAATACAGTAGATACGGAAATAATCCATTATCCACGCCCCCTGCTACGAGAAGACAGAATAGTTACACTAAACCATCAGATTCTGCATTTACCAGGAATAGTCCTATTTTAGGTGAGTATTGTTTATGGCATTTTAGGCAATACACCATTGTCCATATTTGGTCTTTGCATGATGTCATTTATTTACAGTTATTAGTTTAACATTGCAACATGTACCTGTACATCAATCCAGGGCAGTTAAATTACTATCAATCCAGGGCAGTTATATTACTATCAATCCAGGGCAGTTAAATTAGTTTCAATCCAGGGTAGTTAAATTAGTATCAATCTAAGGTAATTAAATTAGTATCAATCCAGGGTAATTAAATTAGTATCAATCCAGGGCATTTAAATTAGTATCAATTTAGGGTAGTTAGATTAGTATCAATCCAGGGCAGTTAAATTAGTATCAATCTAGGGCAGTTAAATTCGTATCAATCCAGGGTAGTTAAATTAGTATCAATCCAGGGCAGTTGAATTAGTATCAATCCAGGGCAGTTAAATTAGTATCAATCCAGGGTAGTTAAATTAGTATCAATCCAGGGTAGTTAAATTAGTATCAATCCAGGGTAGTTAAATTAGTATCAATCCAGGGTAGTTAAATTAGTATCAATCCAGGGTAGTTAAATTAGTATCAATCCAGGGCAGTTAAATTAGTATCAATCCAGGGTAGTTAAATTAGTATCAATCCAGAGTAGTTAAATTAGTATCAATCCAGGGCAGTTAAATTAGTATCAATCGAGGTCAGTTAAATTAGTATCAATCCAGGGCAGTTAAATTAGGATCAATCTAGGCTGGTTAAATTAGTATCAATTCGGGGTAGTTAAATTAGTATCAATCCAGGGCAATTAAATTAGTATCAATCTAGGGTAGTTAAATTAGTATCCATCCGGGGTAGTTAAATTAGTATCATTCCAGGGCAGTTAAATTAGTAACAATCTATGGCAGTTTAATTAGTATCAATCCAGGGTGGTTAAATTAGTATCAATCCAGGGTAGTTAAATTAGTATCAATCCAGAGTAGTTAAATTAGTATCAATCCAGGGTAGTTAAATTAGTATCAATCTAGGGCAGTTAAATTAGTAACAGTCTATGGCAGTTAAATTAGTATCAATCCAGGGTAGTTAAATTAGTATCAATCCAGGGCAGTTAAATTAGTATCAATCCAGGGCAGTTAAATTAGTATCAATCCAGGGCAGTTAAATTAGTAACAATCTATGGCAGTTAAATTAGTATCAATCCAGGGCAGTTAAATTAGTATCAATCCAGGGTAGTTAAATTAGTATCAATCCAGGGCAGTTAAGTTAGTATCAATCTAGGGTAGTTAAATTAGTATCAATCCAGGGTAGTTAAATTAGTATCAATCCAGAGCAGTTAAATTAGTAAAAATTTATGGCAGTTAAATTAGTATCAATCCAGGGTAGTTAAATTAGTATCAATCCAGGGTAGTTAAATTCGTATCAATCCAGGGTAGTTAAATTTGTATCAATCCAGGGTAGTTAAATTTGTATCAATGCAAGGCAGTTAAATTAGTAACAATCTATGGCAGTTAAATTAGTATCAATCCAGGATAGTTAAATTAGTATCAATCCAGGGTAGTTAAATTAGTATCAATTTAGGGTAGTTAAATTAGTATCAATCCATGGTATTTAAATTAGTATCAATCCAGGGCAGTTAAATTAGTATCAATCTAGGGTAGTTTAATTAGTATCAATCCAGGGTGGTTAAATTAGTATCAATCCAGGGTAGTTAAATTAGTATCAATCCAGAGTAGTTAAATTAGTATCAATCCGGGGTAGTTAAATTAGTATCAATCTAGGGCAGTTAAATTAGTAACAGTCTATGGCAGTTAAATTAGTATCAATCCAGGGTAGTTAAATTAGTATCAATCCAGGGCAGTTAAATTAGTATCAATCCAGGGCAGTTAAATTAGTAACAATCTATGGCAGTTAAATTAGTATCAATCCAGGGCAGTTAAATTAGTATCAATCCAGGGTAGTTAAATTAGTATCAATCCAGGGCAGTTAAGTTAGTATCAATCTAGGGTAGTTAAATTAGTATCAATCCAGGGTAGTTAAATTAGTATCAATCCAGAGCAGTTAAATTAGTAAAAATTTATGGCAGTTAAATTAGTATCAATCCAGGGTAGTTAAATTAGTATCAATCCAGGGTAGTTAAATTCGTATCAATCCAGGGTAGTTAAATTTGTATCAATCCAGGGTAGTTAAATTTGTATCAATCCAGGGTAGTTAAATTTGTATCAATGCAAGGCAGTTAAATTAGTAACAATCTATGGCAGTTAAATTAGTATCAATCCAGGGTAGTTAAATTAGTATCAATCCAGGGTAGTTAAATTAGTATCAATTTAGGGTAGTTAAATTAGTATCAATCCATGGTATTTAAATTAGTATCAATCCAGGGCAGTTAAATTAGTATCAATCTAGGGTAGTTAAATTAGTATCAATCCAGGGTAGTTAAATTAGTATCAATTTAGGGTAGTTAAATTAGTATCAATCCATGGTATTTAAATTAGTATCAATCCAGGGCAGTTAAATTAGTATCAATCTAGGGTAGTTAAATTAGTATTAATCCAGGGTAGTTAAATTAGTATCAATTCAGGGTAGTTAAATTAGCATCAATCCAGGGTAGTTAAATTAGTATCAATTTAGGGTAGTTAAATTAGTATCAATTTAGGGTCGTTAAATTAGTATCAATCCAGGGTCGTTAAATTAGTATCAATCCAGGGCAGTTAAATTAGTATCAATTCAGGGTAGTTAAATTAGCATCAATCCAGGGTAGTTAAATTAGTATCAATTTAGGGTAGTTAAATTAGTATCAATTTAGGGTAGTTAAATTAGCATCAATACAGGGTAGTTGAATTAGTTTCAATCCAGGATAGTTAAGTTAGTATCAATCCAGGGTAGTTAAATTAGCATCAATCCAGGGTAGTTAAATTAGCATCAATCCAGGGTAGTTAAATTAGCATCAATCCAGGGTAGTTAAATTAGCCACAATTCAGGGCAGGTAATTTAGTGTCAATCCAGGTAGTTAAATTTTGAAAATTATTGTTGAATTGTTCTTTTGTATTTCATTATTCTCCCTACAGGAGGGTCATCTGGCAGTGTGGTACCCTCCAATACAGTGGTAACCAGGGATGCAACGCCACCATTTGGCAGAGCTGCAAACTTTGAACTTAATACTCATTTACAAACACAGACTCGAGATGGTCATTTAAAACTTGCTCCAACAGCCACAGTAGTCACCCAGAATACCTCATCACCATCATCAGCTGGGGTTACTATGGAAACCACATTGCCTGGGACAAAGTATGTATTTTACTATGCCATTGTTGGTATGGTATATAGTTTTTCAAGGCCAGACTGTGTATTCCAGGGATAACATTTTTGCTCTATTAGAAGCACATGCATTAATGTAAATGATCAAAACATCTTCCTATTTTGTCTCACCAAAACAAGTCTGTATGACTTAAATTGGCCTTCATTTGAGATGCACTCCTAGTCTTTCTCGTCAATTTCACCAAAATGTTTTTTCAGTCATCATTTACACACAGAACTTGTTCTGTCAGAAAAGTACATGTAGAAGTACAAGGCACCCTATCAGAACCTAGATCATCTGTCAATACAAATCGTGTAATGACTACTTTTTGAAGTTATTCATAAAAACCATAATAAACAAACTTTATTTGTATCTTTTTTTTTTATTCAGAACTCAGAGTGCTGGGACGACACCTACTTCTCAAAAAACAAGTATTGGAAGATCTGAGGAAGCGATGAGAAATGTTGATGAGGCTGGAAATTATTGTTTATCTAATCAAGAAAAAAGAGTTGCTATGGATTCTTCATGGAATGTGTTAGGTGTACCACCACGACATCCGACCACGGCAACTAACAATCCACAATATTATAATAGTAGAAACTCTCACTGGGCAGCCAACAGGTTCTGGTAGTGTGAGCAGAACTTACACTCGGTGGCCAACAGGTTTTGATAGGAGTTGTAGAACTCTAGTTGTGACAGACAATGAATATAAATATGATTGTAAATGGACAAACAAGAGGCATTGAAAACATTGCCTGTAAACACAGTATTTGTGCTTCACTTCCTATGAATACTATTCCTCCAGATGAGACTGAATTCCTTCATTTGTGTGCAATCAATTTTCATCTGACTCTTTCATCCTGTACACTCTATAGCATTCTGTAATGTTATTCCAACAACAAAAAAACACTCCAGTAATATCCATATACCATGAATTATGTTGTTTCCTCTCAAACCAAGGAGATTTTCTACCTAAATCTGGTATGTAGATTTATTCACTGAAACCATTGCATCTGTGACTTCCGCTTTCAATATAGGTACTACTGAAGTAGCAAACAATCTGTGCAGAGTGCCAAAAATAACTTAACTTAAATAATTTGTTTTGCTCTAGCAAAAAATTATTTTTGTTTTTTAAATGCAGCTTAGCTTGATAGAAAAGTACTTGATGATGCAAAGTTGTTAATGACATGCAAATGTTAGCTAATGAGATGCACATTTATGCCAATAAGATGTACTTTTATGGTAATTTGGTCTAATTTATGTTAATGAGTTGTACTTCTCTGGATTATGCTCCTAAGATAATGCGTATACTTAATGAGATATTTATTTTACACAACTGTAAATATTTTAGAACATTCCATTTTTCCAGTGTCTCTTTAATTTCTTTTTCTACAGATTTGAGAACATTATTCTTCCTATTCTTTTACTCTGTAAGTCCGTTACTGTGATCCCAAGTAATGCTTACCAACTTCTCATTGAATTAGAATAAATGAATAATTAGCCAGTGTACTCATCTGAGTGCAAAGCATAGTTAGGCAATGCAGGTATTTCAGTTCAATGGATAGTTAAGCAATGAAATCGTCTGAGTTTAATGCACAATTAGGCAATGTAGGCATCTGAATTCAGTGCATAGTTAGGCAATGTTATGTTTTGAACAGGTAGGGCAGATTCACTGCTAAGTTCTTGAGAAGCCGCCTTGGTTGGAGTGCAATTGATTCATGAAAAATATCCTTAGTTCTACTCATCATATTGTGTGTGAATCAACTACAATTTCTTTGATTCTGGATGAACATTGTAATCATTAAGCCACATGTTAGGTGTATAGTACTGTTCACAATAATGTATTCCAATTATGCTGCTATAGTTTACTTAATTGATTTGTTCCTTCCAAATAGCAATCCATATGCTGACACTCGACTCAGGTACCCTCCATTCCACTGTTATACGCATAGCATTGTAGTATATTTCTCACAACAATGTCCCTCGTATATTGAAAATAATTTTTTTTCACCACTATGAATTTCCAAAATTTGATAATTTAAGGACATTTGTGATGACATTTTGCGAAAGTTGTTGTAACTCCTTTTGATAAAAAATACAATGAAATGCCTTCCATAAAATTTGTTTTCCTGTGACGCTTAAAATTCACAGACAAATATTCAGAATTATAATTGTTTCCTCTGAGGGAGGATTGAAAGGCATTACCAATTGTAAGTACAAATCAGTAAGTTCTCATTGTTGACTTGAATACAAACAGGATGCATTTTGACGTAAATACAAACATCTTTTTATTCAACAATGTAGATATAATTCTTAAAATTCGTATCACTCTCCCACTAGCCATTATCTTAAACGTCAACCAAATGAAATGGATAGCCATTTTTTTTATGTGTATATAATGAAGATATTTATATTAAATTTGTGTGCGATTTTGTTTTTCTAATTTATATTTTTTATTCACTTTAGACTGTAAAGTTGTGTATTTCGTCTTTCATTAACATAGTTGCCACTCAATGTACAACACTTGTTTTCTATTAAAAAAATGAAAAACTCTTTGCAACTTACGATCCACTGGTGATACATTTTAATTAAAATTTTGTAATTACAATCTGAACAAAATAAATTCAATAAAAATAAAATAAATCTATGTATTTTTGTTTATTTCTAGCTAGATAATATAATATTGGTTTTATAAAAAAAATCTTGTGATATGTATAATTTTTTTTCATGCTTGTGTGTTTTATGAATGTTTATAAAATTCAAATGACAAAATAGTGGTAAATGCATGAAATTCACCAAATTTCAATTTGTAATTTCAATTTCTTCGCTTTAGAAAACGTATATCTGTCAACACACACTGTTTCAACTGTTTGAAAAAAAAATAGTATTGGCCACTCAAACATGGTTACTAGTAGTAACAGAAGTGATATGTCGCCTATGGGCGTGACTCATACCATAGACCTTAGAAAGAAATCTCTTTCTAAAGATCTATGCTCATATTAACGACGTAATTCACAATCGCCTCTGAGTGTTAAAGCGCGCTGTGGTACCACAGTCTCTTACGTATAGCGGATAATTTTAAAAAAAAATAGTATTTATTGATTTTCAGCCCCAAGTGACAGTGTGTGGTACCCCTGCTTTAATACCCAAATTTTACTATTCAATACTCATCTACTCTATGATGACCTTATATTTGTGAATAAAGATATACTGAAACAATAATAGTCAAGAAAAAAAAGGGTAGAAAGTTGAAAAAGTGTCTAAGATTTCCGCTCTCTGCGAGACGCGTACGTCATACGAGTAAGACGAGTAGTTGCCGTTTCTTTTTGTTATACTGCCCTCAGCGGTATTTGTCACTACAGCGCAGCGGCAGGAAATGTGGTAGATTCTACGTTAGATTGCCGATGGTACACCGAAAATGATTAACTTTGGTACTTCAAAACTTAATCAATTGAATAACCAAACTGTCACCATTTATTATAACTATAATCCCAGAACCTAAATTAGTTTGGACTGACAGTATGTGTGCGTCCGTGGAACGGGCATGATTAAATAGACATACAATAAACATATTTGGAGAACTTGGCACTGGATGATGCAGAAAAAAATGTATTGTGAACACATTTAGGCGAATATGGATTGATAATGCATAGTGGGAATTAATATGCCTCACTTCAAATCTCTTAAATCGCTGCGTTCTTGGTCTAGGCATGGAGCTAAAAATGCTCCATGGTCTAGGTAGGTCGTGTCAGCTAACAGGAGGGGGCGGTCGCTCCTCGAAAAAAATGTTGGGGCGTCGCCCCTCCAAAATCAAGCTGAAACCCTTTGTGTCAGCAAAATTTGCCCCTCAAAATGTTGGAAATAGCGGACCCCATAGTAAGGTCGCCCCCTCCATGCAAAATTTCGTGTCGCCACCTCTGTATTCTGACCTAAAACGGTACGGAATCGTGTTTATGAAATATTTTATTATGAACCATCGTCGTTATGATGTAACAAACCGTCCCAGAACTGGGTCATTCATGATATATGATAGGTTCCTGGGGGGGGGGGCAATGAGACTACCCCAGGGTCCAGTGAAACATTTGTGAATTACACGTATTTAAAGAAAAACTCGTTTATCCTCATATTTATAAGCAAAAAAAATATTATTTTGTTTCAGTTAAACAAAATACACACAACTGTTCAGCAACAAATGTAACTCTAAAATGCTGAAAACTGCGATCTATGTACACACAACGAGAACATATTGTTATGCATTACATTCAAGTTGGATATATGTTTTTCGGGCAACTGTATAACCCCTACACCGGCCACATTTGTTTTTCTCCAAGTAAGATTTTCCCATCAAAAATACTGCTACTTGTACTAGTACATGTAGTTCACTCTTTGAAATATTTCTAAAACTAATTGTATGTCGGATGGCGTTGTTATATACATAGAGTTTGAATATTGATGACATGGAAACTCCAAAAATAAACTCGTAAACGCTCAAACTACTTTTACCGAATGTACTTTTAAACGCCGGACTTAAGTTTGCTATATTTAATTATTTACGTTTCCTGGTCATAAATAATTAAGTGCACAGAATGGGTACGGAATAAATCAACGTTACGACTGACCGACACGCTACACGCTCTAAGCCCACCTGATATGTTATCCACTTAGCAACGGACAGTCAGCGTACTAGTGAGGGCCTTGTCGCTTCCTTGGTAACAACGCGCAGAAGCGTTCCATTGTTGGATAGGCGAACGCGTGACACCCGACAGTGGCTTATCTGGACTGTCTCCGACGTTCTGTCATTGTTCATTATTACCTATGTAGCCGTTTGTAGAAGTGGCGTATCAGTGTACATAATAGAAAGTGTGAACCCCCGTTTCATTCTCCGGACATACCCCAAGACAACACGTCAATATGGCACAGGGAAAGAGTATTTTAATGACTCCCGATCCATATCATACGCCTGGGTAAGTACGATAATTTATATGTCTGTTTTAGACCGTAGAAATGCAGGATACCCCTGTCCGTACAACGGACGTGTTCATGATGTACGCATTGCTACAAGTTATGTCCAAGACAAGTACTAACCCTAACGGACCGGTAACAGTAAACTTCAAGATGGTCAACGGGACGATATACAATTAAATTGCCTGTACACATGACTCCATACTTCGGAACGGAACGGAGTGACGTAACTTACAACTTCGTTAACCGAACAAATGCACCTGTTGGGACGTTTTGTTTATTCCTTCGCTAAATTTGGTGTACTAGTATACTATGTCCGTCACCCCGGGCAGTTTGACCGGCAAAGTCATCACCGAGGCAGTGTGACCGGCAAAGTCGCCACCCGAGGCAGTGTGACGGAACATACTCGTCATCCGTCGATGTTGCTTAGCTTTCTACCGTAACTTTAAAAATGCATGTTTACGTCGCATTCGTGGTTTTTATTAACTTTCACGTTAACAACACGTCATCGCACCCTATACAAATTTAAACAATGCTCATTTGTCGCAATAAAAAAAGTTTTATCACATTTGATATGTTGGTTGTTGCACAGGTCTTCGCAACCTGTGTAGTGACGACCCTGAAATCGGAGCACATGATCCCAGTTGCTTGTAAGGGGTAGCACTGGTATTAGTGTATAGTATTTAGTTACTGTCATTGTATCCAGACAATGTGTTCCTAAAAGACACGTAACGCGGTCAGTTTAGTACATGTTTAGATCGATTTAATGACACCATGGGAACAGAGATCATGAAAACACCTGTTGTCTATATTTCCGGACACCTGGTTAGATGATTGGAACATAAATATTGCCAGACCTATTTCATTAAATGTGTCATGACATTATTTGCTGTCATGCTGCATTCCGGGCAGCATTCATTGCTCCCGTTCCACCCAGTGAATACCAAAGACCGCGGTGAAATTTACACGATGTAGCCATTTTGTTGCTATTGTTACCACACAATGCTTCACCGGGGGCGATCATATGTCGATTACGGGACACTAAGAAGCCACTGTTTTTATTGATGTGTGTTATGTCGGCTTCTGGAAGGCGTAGTTGAGATTGTCAATTGATAAACAAGTCATGTTCACCGCCGCAAGTTTTTTTCGTCGACTTGTTACTCTCTAAACAGTTTAATATAATAGCGGCAAGTTACTTGTTAGTACCATGGAGCTAACTCCATGCATGGAAGGTACTAACGGAGTACCTTCCATGCTCCATGTGAGTATGAAACTTGAAGAATAGCAGAGAATTACAGTTTAAATATCATCCGATGGAAGGAACTATCGTAGGAGTCAGTCCTGACTGGTACGACAGAGGAGAAAAATGAAATTGTATTGAACTAGTATGTAGTTGTCCAAACCGTATAGTCATAACGCAATGCGAGTAATTATTCAAGGCGGCGCTTGATTCTGACAAAACAAAATAGTTACGAACGTATTTATAACTGTATAGTTGTAGCATTGAAATAACTTAGCAAGGACTTAATGATCTTTCTTGAGATTCACAACCAATCACTGAAAAGCTACAGTAAACTCAAGCCGTTGGGGTTGAACATATCTTGAGGGGTTGGCAAGGGGTATTTTCGTAAGCTGTAATCAATTGTTTTTATTTTTCGTAATAATGTAATTTAACTAAATAACAAGCGTAAATTCGTGGACACGGAAAAGGTATAAAATGTAGTCAGCTATTTTATTCGTTCGTAATTTGTACAAAGATATTATCTTTTGTAAGCGTATAAAGCATTTTCCACATTAAATGTCGTAATTCGTACACAATTTCCAATTTTGTTTATTAGACACAAATTACAAAAATATTAGTTGTTTTTACTGTAATTGGAACTTTCCTTTTTATTTCCTGTAAAAACGTATAATGCATTTTTTAATCCCTGTAACCCCCATTTGCCCCCTCTATCTTTACTGGCTTCGTTTGTTGTCCGCGTTCGATTCATTTTACGACTGAACGATGTTCCGTTTTCACGTCAATTCTTTTTTAGTAAGGTCGCATAACAACGACAAGCGCTACCTCTTTCCCGAACAAATGTGATGACGCCAATACTATGAAAGTAAAAAAATAACAATGTCTACGTATTATCATCTTGAACTTTCAAGGTATAATATTCCAGCTTACCGCCGCGAAGAAAGGGATAAACGGATGCAAAACCGTGTGGAATTTGTTTGAACAACATTCTTTATCCCCAGGTCTTTCCAGAAACATCAATGCTCCTGTGGGGATGCTACTGTATTTATGTTTCAAGAGTTCAATGATATGAATAACAAATTAATCTTCTGGAAATGACCGTTTATTAAACCAATGGAACGTACTAATTGGTGAAAGTCATATCGCTTTCATCGGAAATCAGATCATTTGAACGCACCATTGAACAGATAATGAAATGTACAAAGGTAACAAATAGTATTCATTGATTTTCAAATACATTCGACTTGACCTTGGTGATGGAAATCATGTTCATGTTGAACAATTTAAAGGGCGACAGTCGTCGTGCCGCGTCCTGTTCGATATGAGACTCATATCGACATACAACGCGTGTAAAATACATTGCGACGACCACCACGCTTTAACTTCGGCCCGTCTCCCTTCTATCATGTTCCATGCGGGTACGTGTATTTTATCTAATCACGGCCAATCTGTAGAGCCCACATAGAGGGGTCAGAAGAGTTACTTCTGCTCGATTCTGTTCATCGTTTCATTGTAAGTCCTTCTAATAGTCTGCCAATCAAAATTATATTTATCGAGGGGGGGGGGGTTATCGACCGACACCCGCCACATATCACGTATGTATTTTAGTACGTTATGTAATTATTATAATCAGAACAATGGTGTATTGTATTCCAAATTATATTTCGTTTTGTTTTGCAATTATATTTACTGGTATTTTCATCAAGAATGGTTGTGTTTAAAGCGGGGGGTTGTCACCTGCGCACGCGCGGGAATTGAGTCCCAAGCAACGATAACAACACGCTAAAAACGCAAATGCTCATGGGTAGACGCTTGTCTGTAAACAATCACACGCTATGGCCATCTGACGCATGCGTAAGTGACGACTCCCCCGCTTTAAGGTAGGCCACAGGGACTGTGGGTAGGCAGACCCCTATTTTTTAGTAAGTTGGTCATAAATCGCAGGACAATGTTCATTGTACAGTCATAGAGCTAGTAGTGTCCCATGGCGCAATGAAATAGCATACCTTTGTGTAAATAAAACGAACCTCATCATTGTCAATATATGACCTGTTCAGCCTATGTCACCTGCCTACAATTTCAGATATGGCATAATATCTTTGCTATAGAAACCTGTGGTAAAATCATTATAATAGTGTCAAAATAACCATTATTATTTTCACGAAAATTAGGCTGGTGACCCAAACTTTTTAAAGTCAATATCCTTATATTGTCTGGGAGTACAACTATTGCAAAATGAATAATGTATAAGCTTCTACCTTGAAGCCTTTCCGAATTTAATGTAAACAAACAATGTAATTACACGCGTCGCTATGGTTTCCATATCAAACGCGACGTTGCTCGAAGACTGCTATGAGGGCGCTGGATCACAGGATCACACCCAGCGAGATAGAGTTTTAAAGTAATTGGCAAAGTTTCTATTCAGACATTACCGTAAATTTGTAAAAAAAGATCCTCCGGCATGTGTTCGAATGAAAATTCCGACTTAAACTAGTTTGCACAAAATGTACTCACACTCACAGTCTAATTTTCAGTGCATATTGTAATTACGGCAACAATTGTATTGTCAATGACCTGTGACACGAGTGGAAATCGAACCACAACAATTGTATACATGTATACATAATTCGATTACATTCATCGTCATTATTCTCTGATTTGTGTACATTTTATACTTTTATATCTATACCATTGTTTCCAACCGTGGTAATCGCTATTGCCTGAATTTTACTTGGTGCATTGTGTGTAAGTCTTTGCACGTCGCCTTTTGCTTTGCTTCATTGAGTGTGTTAAAAAAAGCTGCTGCTAAATGTATGGAAAAGAGGGCCGTGGCATTGCTATAAGTTACCATAAACTTGGCCCAGTTGCCATGTGACGTAATAGCTCGACCTTTGAACTATTGGTATTTGACGTCATTTTCGATTGAATTGAGTTTGTGTGACGACTGTTATACTAGTATAAATACGTAATTATACTTGAATTAACTCATGAATATTCCAAGCGGAAGTCGCCATTATCCACCCTTAAACACGCGATTTGTCACGCCCTCCATCGGAATCACTTTGTGGGATTAATTCCGCGAATAGTTTGGGTTGTATACCACATTTGCTATGGTAACCACGGAAAAGAGTACCCAGGTCAAATACTAGTATTTCGATGCAGAATGTAGTACTACGTTTACGTCACGTTACGTTATTCTACAATTACCCCCGGTATACTTAGTAGTTGATACAATATGCCATTCGTGTCAAACTCATAGTCACGTGATCATCCGGACTATTTTGGCAAAGTTCTGAGTTGATATGGTGTACGTTTCATGAACTTACAGCCATCAACTGTAATTTTAACTTGCTAATCAACATACATGTATCAAGTAAAATATAAATATACTGTTAGCAACCGTGTTTATTTTTTCAGGTACTGTGGTTTTTGCCCCCAATTCAAGTACCAGATTGGTGAAACCTTCGGTAAAACAACGTCACAACTCCTCACAAATCCACATGTAGCCAGTTCTCCACGTCCTGTGTTGGCAGAGACTAGTCCTCGGCCGGGGGTTGAGGGCGTTCCAGACAGAAGGGCAGAGTTTCTTAGAACACGTACCCAGAGCTGGGGCGACCAGAAATTGATAGGGGAGATGGTACCCGGATATACCGGTAAGTAACCCTAACATTTTAAACTATAGTCCTTCAACCGAGTAATAAAAACAAATCGTAGGGTCAAAAACGACGAATAACATACGGTTATGCAGGTGTAAATGTCTCATTGTATACCACGACTTTTACACAATTTTCTGTCAATAGCGCCATCTAGCGATAGACGTTTATGTGACGCAAATGGGTTCATATCGTGCACGTTTTGATATGTATTTAAGAGGTTTACAATATTCTAAATGATGAACAAATACACAACCACTTAGACAGTTGATTTGAATGACAATTACGTCATTTTGACGTCACATAAGCGTTTCGTCTCTTCAACCCTTGGGAAATACATGTCTTCTGATAGCTAGGTAGTTTCAGCTTGGCTAAATCACGGACTTAAAAAGTTTATGTCGAATTTTTACAAAAACGTCGAATTTTAGTGAAGTACTGCAATGAGTTTCAACTGATTGTTCGATGTGTGCATTGATCACCGGGCGCCACAGTCAGCTGGCGCACACGTGATAATAAAATAAATACGATATTTACTATAAGGG